AGGAATGAGCCACCACCAGAGGGGTATAAAAAAGGATTGGGGCCAACAGCAATAGGGCGAAAGGAAGGGATTTCTTTCAAAAGTCTAATGGAAAAGGTGAGGCCTGGGTCCGTGCCAGAAACATATAGGCGTAGACCCCAGTAAGCGCCTCGGGAACCTTCCCAGAGGAACCTTCTTCCTGCAGCTGTAAACTGGATATGGAAGAGGTTGTACCAACTGCGTGAACAAAGGGGATTAAATGGTGGTGGGCCAGAATTAAGCTGTCTGGCCGGGGGATGTAAGGAGGGAAACTAAAATTCAAAAGGAGAAATGGAAGAAGTAGCAGGCGATGCGGCGTCATCTTCACTGGGAGTTTTGTTATCAACAGCATCTGAAAGAGAAAACAGGAGATTCCTCAGGGGCTCTTTCCCTGGGAGGGTTATAAAGCTTGACCAGTTTGTCTGGAAGCCAGCGTTTCTCCATTGCTGGTGTTATAAAAGCAAGCATGTCTTTTTCCCCAGATAAGGACTGGGTGAGGACCGAGCCATTGGCCCGTGTGCACATCCTTCCAGAGAACCTGTCGAAAGTTTTCACAGGTGGAAGGGTGCCAGAGCCGATCAGCGGCTGATCGGCCATTGTTGTCCAGAGAGAGGAAATTGAGCACAAAAAGTGCATGATTTAAAAGTAGGCGATGCTTGCCTTTGCGAGCGTACAGGGTTTCGCTTTCGGAAGAAAGCTTAAAGAGCATATTTTTTAAGGTCTGATTAGCTCGCTCTACAACTCCCTGTCCTTGAGGGTTAAAGGGAATTCCTGTTTTGTGGGTAATGCCAAATTTTTTACAAAAATCCTTAAATTTAGAACTAATGTACCCTGGGCCATTGTCAGTTTTAATGGCGATAGGGACAGGAATAATAGTAAAACAATGTAAAACATGGGCAATAACGTCTTTGGTGGCCTCTCCTGTTTGGAGAGAGGCACAAACAAAGCCACTAAAGGTATCCACCGTAACATGAATATATTTAAGATTGCCAAGAGCAGAATAATGAGTAACATCCATTTGCCAAAGCTCACCAGGCACAAGACCACGGGGATTGACTCCTGTATGAGGCTCAGGCAAAAGGGAAAGGCAAGCTTTGCATGATTTAACTATCTCTCGAGCCTGTTCTCGAGTGATGGAATATTGTAGCCTAAGTGTTTGTGTATTAAGGTGATGTAATCTATGATCTTGTTGTGCTAACTGTAAAGAGTTAGACTGATCAAACACAAACCAAAGAGAAGTCAGAGGTAGCTTTTATGCATCTATGTGAAAGGTTTTTAGAAACCACCTTCTGTAGTGATTTGGCTAAGCTGATACATTCAACTTGAGACAATAAAATGGCAGAACAAATAAAATGGCACTGACCACACACATACACACACATATACATACACACATACATACACACACATACAGCGGTTTGAGTGTAAAAGCTCCTTTAGTTTCAGACACTGGATACCCTGACCACAGACAGTTTGTATGGGGCTGAATAGAGCATGGACTTAGAACCCAGCAGGGTCACAAGGCTTCAGGTGCCCCTGCCACCCATGGATGTATCATAAACGACAGTGTGACACAGCAGTGACCTCACAGCTTTAAGTTTAGGACTGGCTAAAGAAATGCAGCAATGGCCTGGTAACACTAGCTGGGCCATTTAGATGCTGTCCAAGCTGACAAAGGCCACATGGAACTAGAATGACATACTTTTGGGGGCCTGGCCGATCACAAGAAAACTAAACAGACCAAAAGTGCCACAAAGACTCCTAACTAATGCGTTTACATTCAAGCCTTCTCTTTAGGTCTTAAAGAGCATGCTGTTTAGAGGTGGAAAACTTTTTGTTGGAAAGCCAGACGAGGCCATTCCACAGTGCCCGAGAGAGCAGAGTCTAGTCCGCACACTCTAGCATATAATACTGAAATGTGTTGGGATCGTAGAAGCAAGGCAATGTCCCAGCACAAGAGCAGTGCAATTTACAGGATCAACATGCCTGCCACAGGATGCCCATGACAGAGCTACACGTGTACTGTCTATGGTGAGCCAGCCAGCACAGTCATTTTGGGGAAGGGTTTAAAACATAAACAAAATGTTTGCATTTGCAAATGAGGCATATGAACACCAAGGGAGAGTAACATCTACTCAGGGCACACTCCTTTTTTCATAGGTGTGAAAAATGAGTTAGGGAGAGATCACAGAAAGGTTGCTTATGGCATGCCTGGGACTACTGGGATTGTCCACTGCCTGTATAGCAAAATGCCCATGAAAAATACTTGTAACAATCCAAGAGTTCAGGGCCATGCTGAGGGCCCTGAAGGTTCGTTCCTGTGACCAGCCAGCGCTACCACCACAGGGACTACCAAGAGAGGCCACCTAGCCTCTAAGGACTCCTAGACACTCAGGGGTCCCAGCTGTTAGCTGTGTGACTCTAGGCTGATCTACCTTTAACACATTGTATCAAATATAGAATTTGATTGAAAAACTGCTTGTAAAAATAAATTTTAAATCACCCTGTAGATCAACGCAAAAGCATACCACACCGATACATCATCTATAAGAAAAACAATTCATCCAGAAAAACTACATCTGTGGCTTCCAAAAGTAAAGCATCCACAAACCTGATTTCTTTTTGATAACGAAAATAGGGGTATTCCAAGGAGATGTGGAGAGTTCTATATGGCCAGCATTGAATTGCTCCTGCACAAGCTGCTGGGCTGCTTCTAATTTTTCTTTGACTAGAGGCTATTGCCCTACCCAGACAGGATCATCATTTATCCAGGTGATTTTATCTGCCGGGGCGGGGGGGGGGGGGAGGGTACAGGGAGGTAGTAACCACTACTGAAAATTTTGAGCAGGTGGGCTATAGCCAAGGCACGCTCTATCATCGGGATCAGGCGAGCCGCTTCTTCGGCTCAAGCTGCCTGTCTAGTGCGTGGTTGCCCCTGTGCCACAGGAAGAGGTCTAGCAGGGAGAGGCGGTTCAGCTCCCTACCCTTCAGGGTCAAAAAAGAGGGAACTGGAGTTTACGTGATGCTGAGGAGAGGAGCTGTGAAAACTTGTCGCTGAGAGCTTGAACGAGAGAGAGGAAGCAAGAGAATCAACAGTGGAGGAGTATTTGGGAGCAAAAGGTTGAGGAAGATCAGGGAGCTAGGAAGGATCGTAGGCAGGAGGTCTCGTGGCCAGAGAGACCTTGCGCCCGAACCCGAAGGTATGCGGCAGCCTCTTCCTCTAGCTCCTGGGCGTCCCCAGGATCGAGAGGTTCCTCAGGAGGAGCAGAGGCGAGAGCCCGTAGGGAGGGGTAGATACCGGTGGCTAGAGAGCGAACTTTAGGGGCAAATGAGGTAGGTTGATCAGAAGGAGAAGGAAGAAGCTTATCAAAGTCAGAGTTAGCAGAGGAAGAGGAACAATCTTTAGAAAGATCAGCGACAGAACTTGCCCTGGAGCTGCACTAGAACACCCTCAGGAAGCGACCTCTAGATGTTGTTGGGCATCTTTAAGAATTTGTTCATTTCAGAGGCTTTCCTCCGCGTTAACAATGATACTTTTTAAGAGATCCCAATACTGCTGCATAATCTTTTTATCGCTTTCAGAGCCTTTGGTTTCAAAATAATTAGTTAATTCGGCCCCGACCCGTTCCCAAGTACTGCAAACTATTTTTGGGCAGGTAATGACAAACCAGGGACAAACTTCATGTACAAAAAGCAAAAACTTAAGTAAATCTTTTTTTCTTAACCTCAATGTTTCTATCTCTTAATTCTTCTTGAATTCCTTTAATAAATCTAGCTTCTTTGCTGATACTAGTCCCCATTTTCGCGGGACGGATGGGACGGCGGTGTTAACCTAGGTCATTAGACTAACCCTACTCTGCGCCACCCGGATGGGGCTTACCTGACGCCTTATGAGTGGGCTCCGGACTCGTCGCGCCTCTGCCGTCCGATCGGTGGTCTGTAACTCGTGTCCCACGTGGGCGCCAGTTGCGACCCCCGGGAAGGGACCCCCGACCCGCGGGGGTGAGGTGATGAGGGTCGCTACTAATTTGGTGGGCCTTCACGAGCAGATCCGATCTGGAAAGTGAACTTCAAGAGGTTAATGGAAACAGGCTCAAGACAACGTTCGCTGATCAAGAGCCTTTATTTTTTGGGGCGCGCTGGAATTTATAGAGGAAGGACCTCAGGGGGTGGTACAAGCATGTCAATCAAGTCTCAATTCAAATATACACCAAATACGGTAAAGACAAAGCTGTAATTTTCCATCAGTCATCAGTTGCATTCCACAAATGCTTGTCAGCGTAAGTCAGGTGCAGGAATTAGGGAGGGGTAGGGAGTATACAACAGAACACTATAATCTTGTTAACAAAGACAATTACTCCGTAAGGGTATTTCCCCCTGGCTAGGCGGGTGGGCTGCCCTGTGTAAATTTAACTTTAATGGTTAGCCTTTTCCTTTGTCTCAAGGGCATGTGTGCTCGCAGTCACGTAGTCAGAAGGCCAAGAAACGGTTGACAGACTCCATTTTGTTCAAGGTTCTAGCAGTCCCCAACACACATGAGGTTGGAGCAAATTGCTTTTGGTAGCTGTCTTAGCTAGGGTTACTATTGCTATGATGAAACACCATGATCAAAAGCGAGTTGGAGAGGAAAGGGTTTATTTGGCTTACAGTTCAGCATTGCTGTTCATCATTGAAGAAAGTCAGGACAGGAACTCACACAGGGCAGGAACCTAGAGGCTGGAGCTGATGCAGAGGCCATGGACGGGTGCTGCTTACTGGCTCGAAACTCATGGCTTGCTCAGCCTGCCTGCTTAAAGAACCCAGGACAACCAGCCCACCAATCTCTAATTAAGAAAAGTCTCTACTGTCTGCATGTATACATGGTAGGCGAGGCTCACCCCTGCATCTGGAGACCAGAAGTCAACGTCAAGTGTCTTCCTCATTCACTCTCCAGCTGATTTTTTTCCTTTTTACAGTCCAGGTCTTTTATTTCTGTTTGCACATTAGACCATGAATTCATATGGGATGGGCTCCAGCAGCTCAGGCTCCTTCCGGTTAGTCTTCACAAAGTGTGCTTCTCTGAGTGGTGCAGGCTGGTGCTTCAGCTGAACCCAGGTGCCCTTCTCCTTGGCTTCCTTCTTCTTCTGGTCATTTTCCTTCACCCAATTCAGGAAGCTGTCTCTGTCCTTAGAGGGCCTGATGTGCTCAGTCTGCACATTAATTCTCTGGGCAAGAATCTTGTCCTTAACTTGCTTGTTTACAGCGATGGCCACGGCATGCTGGGTGACATTGCAGTCTCTTCCTGTTTTGTCATGGTAACACTTATGGGGCATTCCTTTTTGAACAGTGCCCATTCCCTTGATGTCTACAGTGTCACCCTGCTTGTAGATTCACATATACGTGACCAAAGGAACAACTCCACGCTTCCCAAAAGGCCTAGAGAACATAGCCAGTGGCCCTCCTCTCTCCTTTTTTTTTTTTTTTTTTTTTTTTTTTGTTTTTCGAGACAGGGTTTCTTTGTGGCTTTGGAGGCTGTCCTGGAACTAGCTCTTATAGACCAGGCTGGTCTCGAACTCACAAAGATCCGCCTGCCTCTGCCTCCCGAGTGCTGGGATTAAAGGCTGGTGCCACCAACGCCCGGCTCTCCTCTCTCCTTTTGAGTTTGTCATTTTGGCAAGTTACTGGGAGATGGCTGCCGTGGCCAAAAGGCTTCTTCAGCTTAATTTTTGAGACAGTTTCTCACTGAACCCTGAACTGTCTGACTCTGCAAGACTGACTGGCCAGGGATCCTCCTGTGTCTACTTCCCTAGCACTGGGATCAGGGTTTGAACTCAGGTCTCCATGCTTGCACAGCAAACTTTTTGTGGATGGAGCCATCTCCCCACCCCTCCTCACACATTTTCATTCTGTAAGTGCCTCCTGCATCTAGTCCTTGAAGGGGCCACAGTCACCCACGTGGTCTCCTGGACAGTGCTGTAGTAGGCATTCATCAAAACCATTGGTGGATGAGCACATACCTACTCATGATGCTGAGGCACACAATCCTAATTCTTCGCATCAGAGGTTGGTCAGCAGTGTATTCAAACTAGAACACAATCAACATCCTTCCACAACCCGCACTTTCAGAGACCAGGCAGGGTCCAGTGAGAACACAGAAATCACACTAGTTCACACTAGTTATGTCAGCAGTGAGAACTGAATATAGGCAGCAGGTTAAGCATGCATCAGAGGTCTGAGAAATAAAACATGAGCAACTAACCAGGGAAGGCAACAACGTGAAAAGAAGCTACTAGACGAAGAGGAGGAGGAGGAGGAAGAAGAAAAGAAGAGGAGGAGGAAGAAGAGGAAGAAGAAGAAGAAGAAGAGGAAGAGGAAGAAGAAGAAGAAGAAGAAGAAGAAGAAGAAGAAGAAGAAGAAGAAGAAGAAGAAGAAGAAGAAGAAGAAGAAGAAGAAGAAGAAAGAAAGAAAGAAACAACTAGCCTTGGGCTGGGAAGGGAACAGCTTGGATGCACCCAGATCTAGAAGTTTTAGAAGAGGGATTCCCCCTTAGTATTGGGAAGAATGGGTTATATTTCTATCAATATTACTGACTCATCTTTCTTTTAAAATCAGCTCTAGGGTACTCCTCCCTTGAAGTCATTTCCATCTCAGAAGTTCTTTCTCACTTTCTTTTAATAAGTCTACACTTGCTCTGGTAAAACATTAATTAATCAACTAATCAACTGTATTAGAAAGTTGTCTATAAGAAAATAACACATGCACCCATTTTAGATACACAGTTTGCTAAGTTCAGACAAAGATACAGATCCAGGAACCACCCCATCTGGTGTTATAGCCGATTCTACTAGATTCCACACAAGCCTGTGATTGAGGAAGGGGCCATGAAGACTTTAGCTCTGTGACTCAGTGCCCAGCACAGCACTGAGCTGTGTGACCAGTGAAGCTGCAGTGAGCATCTTCCAGAAACACAGCTCCAAAGGACATCTCAGACGCTGAAAATCAGCTTGAGACCCAGGTGATGGGAAAACAGAGCCAAGATTTGCAAAGCCACCTTCCCTAAACAGGCTGACTCTTCTAGGCCCAAGAAAACTTGGCTGCCCCTTGGACAAAGCTAACCAGCATGAGGAGGAGGTAGAAGCATCAGGAGGTGGCTCCATCTGGTCACTGTGGCCTTTCATCTTGATTGTCAACTTGACTGGACTGAAACAGCCTACTGGAGGGGTAAAGTGAACCTCTGGGTGTGTCTGTGGGAATGTTTGCAGAAACAGATGAGCAAAGCTGTGGTCTGCCCATCCCTCCTGCAGCATGAGTGTGAACAGCTCCACTCTCCCACAGTGCCTCTGTAAGTGAGCCATAATAAATCCCTCACCTAAGTTATTTCTGGTACAGCGGTGAGGAGGTCAAAACCAGGGTTCTCGTGGGGATGCAGGGTCCAACCCAGGACCATGCCTCCTTGCATCTCACTGATGAACCAGCTTCATTCCATGGGGTTTTTGTTGTTGTTTTGTTTGTTTGTTTCTCTGTGGAGCTGTGGCTGTCCTGGAACTCACTCTTTAGATCAGGCTGACCTCAAACTCACAGAGATCTGCCTGCCTCTGCCTCCTGAGTGCTGCCTGGCTTGACTCCACCTTAAAATCAGTAGCCATCTTGTTACAAGGTCTCTAAGTTTGTTTCTGTTTACTACTGCAAAACTTGAGTTTGACTGTGCCTTGACCCATTTCTGGTTTTTGACATGCCCCACACCCTATACAATGACCACCACACTCATAAAATAAGATATTCTGCCAAGTTCCTACCTAACCAAAATTCCCTTGGAAACCCCCTAACTTAGCAGTCTGAGGCTGTAAAACCCCACTATGTTCCAGGCTTTCTGCTCAAATCCCTGCGTTCTGGAAGAGGCAGTGGCTGGACCGGTTATATCGTGCACATAAATCAAAACCTGCTTAATTCAACTAAAACAATATTTGGGTAAGCAGTCTTTGTTCTTCTTCGATGGGATCAACGCTCTCCTCAGGCCACCTCCCCCCGTGCTTCAGCAGCCTTGGAGTTTTTCCGTCCCTTGTCTGTGCCAGGAGCTGCGCCCCCACCACCAAGTGAGTGAGTGAGTTAACTTTACAGAGAGAAAAGGTTTAAACCAGATTTGGTGGTGCACACCTTTGGTCTCAGCACTTGGGGGATGAAGGAGGAGGATCTGTAGTCCAAGGTCAGCCCAGGTTACTGGGTTTCAAGAGAGCCCGTTTCAGAGTAGGAGGTGAGGATGAATATGAGTGAGTTTGTTCATCTAAGTTTGGGAGGTCCCAAGTACAAAACCAGGAAGCCCAGTGGCTTGTCCTCTGGTGATGGGGGCACATCTTGACAGGAACATCTCAAAGCATAGCAAAGGGGAAAGGGGAGAGGTAGGGAGGGTCTCATAATCCCTGTGAGACCAAGCACCTAGTAAGTAACTTCAGAATGCCCCATTAAATCCCACCCCTTGGTCCCCCACCATCCTGGGCACCAAGCTTTGAACTTAATGTCTGAACACACTCCACCCAGCAGTTCCTCTGAGGACACAAAAAATAAAGCATGGGTGTGACCTGGAACATTGGCACCTGTTAACTGCTGCATAAGTGGCAGCTATCATTGTCAGTAACCACTTCAACCTATGTGCTGAACATGAAGGTCTTCAAATTCCAGTCATATTCTGATGCTATCAGTCTATCTTTAAATTCAGGGCCCTTACCTGGGGGAGGGGCAGGTTCCAAGTAACTTCCCCTGTACACCACTGGCAGGTTCCAAGGCTTACGGCTGAGGGCTGGCAAGCTTCCAAGGCAATCGACCCAGGGAGCCAGTGGGCTGACCTTACCTTTTGTCAACTCTTTGAAAGAGCCTTCTCAACATGGCATTCTGTAGCAGAAGCTGCCTCCATGTTGGGTGAACTGAGTTCTACTGCCTCCCCGTGGCCACAGGGTAGAACCCACATTTCTTAGCTTGAAACCAAATAAAATAAACCTAACACATGAGGTGTAGCTATTGTGAGCTGTTTTCTCATTTAATTGTTGTTCTCTGGGTTGAGCTACAGGTGTTAGAAATGCAAGAGAAGCCGGGCAGTGGTAACTCACACCTTTAATCCCAGCACTCAGGAGGTGGAGACAGGAGGATCTCTGAGAGTTTGAGACCAGCTTGGTCTACAGAGAGAGTTCCAGGACAGTTGGGCTACACATAGAGAAACAAAGATAAGGAAATATAAACAAACCTAGCATATGGCCCAAATCCCATCCTTGTTTTCTAACTAGTTATATTTACAGCTTATTGTTATCTCTTTAAATATTAAGTATTCAATAGCTGGGCAGTGGTGGCCCAAGCTTTAATCCCAGCACTCAGGAGGCAGAGGGCAGGCAGATCTCTAAATCTGAGGCCAGCCTGGTCTACAGAATGAGTTCCAGGACAGACACCAAAGCTTCAGAGAAACCCTGTCTCAAAAAAACAAAATCAAAAACAAAAAAAGGTATCTATAGGTGCTAAATATACACATGTATTACTATGTAATACATATTGCATTTATTTGTTCTGAGTTCTTGGAGATAATCTCACTATATAGTCCTGACTATCCTAGAACTCACTCTGTAGAACAGGCAGAGATCCACCTCTGCCTCCGGAGTGCTGGGGATTAAAGGTGGCACCACCACTGCCCAGCAAGGAAAACAATGTTATGGTTGGGGTCACCACAAATGAGGAACTCTATTAAAGGGTTACATCACTAAGAAGGTTGAGAACCACTGCCCTGGAGGAACCAAACTCTGCTTCTCTGGAACAGCAAGCACTCCTAACTGCTGACAGTTTTTTCCAGCCCTTTGTGTTTTGTTGTTGTTGATTTTTAGGCACAAGATTTCATGTAGCCTAGGCTCACTTCCAACTTGCTATATAGACTAGGATGACCCTGGTCCTTCTGCCTCCGCCTCCCAAGTGCTAGGACCACAGACATAAGACCCTGTACTGGATCAGAAACCCTTTCTCCTCCTCCCCCAGTGTCTCACTGTGCAGATCGCACTGCTCTGTCTCCACCACTTGCTTCCTCCCCTCTTCCTCGGTGGCCCCTCTTCCCCTGGCCTCCTGAGTAGGCCTCTGGCCACCAGGCTCTGTTGAAAGGCTTCACTTCCTGTTGTGGCATTTTGCTCATAAACATGCACACACACAGTTTGTTTCACACACACACACACACACACACACACACACACAAGACACCCATGTTCATTTGATTGTGTAGTCCTGGCTGTCCTAGAACTCTCTCTATAGACCAGGCTGACCTGGAACTCACAGATTCGAATGCCTCTACCTCCCGAGTGCTGGGACT